TGCCAACGACCTATCCCAGAACAGCACCTGGTTAAACAGAAGATGCAGAGCCACTTGGCTGGTCAAGCCTGGGCTGCTGCTCTGCCCTTCTGCAGACAAGGCTTCCGTGACCAGGGAGGGCAGAAGAGCAGAACTGGGACCAGTGATACTACCCAATCATTTGGGCTGGAGGCTGGGGGTGGACTCACGGACCTCTTTGAGGTCTGCAAAGAGACAGACAAGTTGGCCTTGGCCTAAGAGAATACCTTGGCCTACCTCTTTAAAGAATGAATGGCCAGGCTGGTCACGGTGGCTCACGCCTGTAATCCCAACACTTTGGGAGGCCAAGGCGGGCCGATCACGATGTCAAGAGATCGAGACCATCCAGGCCAATATGGTAAAACCCATCTCTACTAAAAACACAAAAACTAGCCGGGCGTGGTGGCGGGTGCCTGTAGTCCCAGCTACTTGGGAGGCTGAGGCGGAAGAATCGCTTCAACCCAGGAGGCGGAGGTTGCAGGGAACCAAGATTGAGCCACTGCACTCCAGCCTGGTGACAGAGCAAGACTCTGTCTCAAAAAAAAAAAGATGAACGGCCAGAGGACCAGGCTTCCCTGGGCATGCAAAGAAGCCTATGCCACCAGGGTGGCCTGCCATGAGGTTGTCTGAAGAAAGAGTAACTAGAGGTGAGAAAAAAAAAGCCACCGTGGGAGCAGGCAGGGCATACGGGTGAGCGCCATCACACCAACTCCTCTCTGTGCTGCCTGGGTTACCCCAGCAACGAGGCCAGGCAGGGGCAGCAGAGAGGAGCAGAGGGGCAGGAAGTCGGTGGGGTGGGCAAGACGGGGGCATGGCTGGGGGGCGGGCAGAGGGCTGGTTCTGCCTGGGAGGAGAGCTGCAGACCAGTTTCGAGGCTGGGGGTGGGGAAGTGGCTTGAGGTTGTACAGACTAGTGGGAAAGGAGAGCCACGCGGCTGCACCAGCATTCTCCAGCCTCCCCCGAGACCACCCGGCAGCCCAGCGCCTGAGCCCCAGGAGGAACGAGGCCCACAGGTGCCCTGCCCCCACATGGAGGTTCCCAGCTCAGCCACCAACACCATGGCAGGGTCAGGGTGGTGAAGTCACAGCCTGGGGAAGGGGGAGGGCAGCCAGACCTTTCCCCTCCCTCATTCTTTCTGGACCCAGGGAAGACAGCATAGAGGTAATTTAATGCAATGGAGCAGGTGTGCCCCAAACCAGCGCTAGAAGAAAATAAAGAACACCAAGAAGGACTCCCCAGGTCCTTGCTGCTCTACCCGAGTGACACGGATAGGTAGAGACAGCGTGACTAAGACTCTCAAGAGAATCTCTAGACCAGGTCTTGTCACCATGTCTAAGCCTTCAGAGAGTAAACCTGCCTATTTAAAAATAAAAATAAAAAAAAATAAAAAAATTCCTCATTTGGTTTAGGGTCACCTGATACCTTTAGGAGCCTACTGAGGCCATCTCAGGCATCTCTCTGCCATTTGGTCTCATGTCCCAGGCATAATGATGAGAAGCTCTCCTCTTATGTGAGCTCACCCTGGAATCAAGCCCCACCCCCCTGCTCCAGGCTGATGCCTTGTAGCAGAGCTTCCTCCCAACACCAGCACCTACAGGCCTGTGAGGCAGGAGATGGGATGTTCTGTCCCGGCTGCTCAACCCCCTCACACTGGCTCCCATTTGCATTCGCAGAACATGCTCGGGGCACATGCCACACTCCTTTTCAAGACACCCGGGCCTGCGTGATGAGTTCCTTCCCCAGCAACAGGCACCTGCCAAACACCAGGGAACGGCAAGGCCATAACCCCACAGGAAAAAAGCAGAGAACTTCAGAAAGCAGCAGCTCAGGCACAAGGTTAGTCAATCTTCAATCGCTTGCGGAAAAAAAAAAGTTTGTCCCCTCCCAGAGAGCCTCTGAGTGGGAGCTATCACTGGCGGGGCAGAACTACATCATCTGCCTGGTGCCCCTGAGGTGGCCTTGTCCATCCACCTGCCTCCAGACTGGTCAGCACGGCCAACCAGGCACACAAAGCTCTCCAGCAAACAGGAGTGTCACCTATCGCCCCCCAGGGTCCACTGAATGTCCCTGAGCTCTCCTGGGCTGCGACTCTTCACCTAACCCAGGCCACGGGGGAGTAACGTCCATTTCCTCCGTGAAACTGAGACACAGATGTTCACCTCCCCCCAAGAACAGATCACGTTCAAAGGTGGTCTCCCACCAGCCCCAGCTCCTTCTCGGAACTTCTTCCCTCCCTGATACAACTTCTCACTCCATCCACAGGTCTTAGATCCCAGTCTGTTAAGACCCTAACTGACTTTACAGCCAGAGTGAGGTGACAGGAGAAAGACGGCTCCGTTCCTGCCATCACTGTCATCATCAATAACAATCACCATAGATCCCATCTGTTGAGCAGGCAGATACGTGCCTTACACTTCTCTAATTTAATTCTCACCACTCGACAGCTGGGGAAACAGGCTCGCTAAACCTCCAGGACTTGTCCAAGATCACACAAATAGTATCGGCAGAGCTGGGATTCCAACTCTGGCCCAGTTCCTTGAAACGATCCCATTTGCCTCCAGGAGAGAGGGGTATCTACCTTGGCCCTGCTGCGTCTACAGGGCCTGGTACCTAGTAGACACCCAGAAAAGACCTGTTCCATAAATGACTCAAAACATGGATGGACAATGCAGTGGTGGTGAGTGGGCACAGGAAGTGGCCGCTGAGGCAAGCAGGACCTCTCAGCTGCTGCCCCCTCGGTGCACACCACTAATGCTGTGAGGGTCTGTGATTTAGAAATGGGGAGAGCCAAGCACCTCAGGTGGCCCCACCCTCCATTCCCCATTTCATCTCTGGAAAAGCCCCTTTCCCTGAGTTCTCCCTCGGGGTGCACCTGCCCCAGGCAGGGAAGAGGCCTCGACCCTGCACAGTGGTGACCCTCCCATCACATTAAGACAAGTGTGTGGAGATCCCACGCTGGGATCTGTGCATCTGTGCACAGCCACTGCCTCTGGGAAGAGCCGTTTCCTTAAGAAGTCTGACCATGGTGTCACTGAAAGAGAAGGTGCTGGGGTTGCCCTTCCCCACACCCCCCTTGCATTTGGGCCTTCATCAGTTTCCCCCAGTGAGGGCCCCTGGTCTCCAGGGGAGGACTGGAGAGAGCCAGGGCTGTGACCAGGGCAGCTGCCAGTCCTGGCAAGACTGCCAGCCCCATCTCCTGGCGTGCCCAGCAGGAGAGGCAGTTCTGAGAAGGCAGCGAGCAGAAGGACCGCAGACGCAGAGGCTCATTACAGGGAATGACTAAGTGAGCTGCGATTCCAGGGGAAACCCCGCTCGCTTCTGCTCCCTGAGACGCTCATCCTTGAGCTATTTTGACGAAGGCAGCTCCCAGGTGCCACCCTCAGCCGGGGCAGCCCCCTGAGAGCAGCCAGCTCCCTGGAGGACCCTCTGCCTGGAAGTCTTGATCCTGGCTATTCAGGTCGCCTGACAGGTCCGCCCCACCCTTTTCCAGGGCGGGAAAGTCTGCCCATCCCCGGTTAAAGCGAAATGCTGGGAATGGGGGAAATCCGATCAGCACCTCCTAGGTTTTTGCGGCTGGGTTTCAATAAGGAATGTGACAGTCTCGCAGCAGCTGTGCCCTGCCTGAAACAAGCTCTATTTGAAACCTCCAACAGCTGAACCCCTCCCAGCTACCCGCTGGCCAGCCCGCCCAGCCACCCCCTGCCCCAAATGACAAATAAATAGAAAAATCCAAGCAACAAGCAGGCGCATGCATACGTACACATACACACACACACACACACACACACACACACACACACCCCAACAAATTGGGGGTGGGGGTATCGTGGAGCCACTTGTCCACTGATTCCCAGGTCTCCAAGCCTTCCAGCCCACAGCAGGAGGGCTCCCCGGCAAGCAGAGCATCGGCAGAAACCCACCTTCCTCCATCTCCATTCCCTCTGGAAGGGAAGCCCCCTCCTCCGTCTTGGAGCTGGACTGAGAGGCTGGAGCAGTGGGGCCAGCTCCCCCCTAAAGCCAGTGCCTCCTGTTCTCCATCCGGGCGCGCACTCACACACACACTCATCTTTATTTATCCCAAGGAGAAGGAGTTGAGGTGGGAGGGGAGAACTGGGGCTGAGCTGGGGCGCGGGCTCTCCGGGACCGCCCGGGAAGCCCTGTCATCCCATCCCAAGGAGAGGTGCTCCCCCAGCTGATGCCAAGGCGGCGCCCAGCTGCTCTGCCCGGGGAACACCTGTAGCCATTTTTGTCAGGAGATGTTTATGAAGCAGCAGCAGGTTTATCGAGTCCTCTCTCCTGAGGGAAAGGACCACTGATTTCCCCCAGCTACATTTTTACCCCATGCCCTCAGGAGACCGAGGTCATGGATGGTTTTCTATTTTGCCCGAGTCTCTCTGAGAAGAGGAGGGAAATAGAAACTTGGGAAGAGAGGGAGAAGACAGGGAGAGAAGGGACTTGGGCAATGGCATGGAATCCCCACCCCCCACCCAGACATTTATTTCTTTTTTATCCTCAGGAAAATGGAGTGGAGCAGGAAGGGGAGGAAAGGAGGGGAAGTCGCAGGAACTGGCAAACACATCAAGGCGGAGTGTAATTAATTGGTGCGTTAAGCTGCTGGGTTATGCTTTAGTACAAGTGAGCCAGGAGGAAAAACGATTTCTTAGAAGGGATTCTTTAATCCTCCCTAACAGAGAGTCTGCAAATTAGACACAGTGTGTGGGGATGTCCCCTACCCACCAAGGGAAGCGAGTAATGAATTCTCCCGGGATCAAGAAGGAAAACCACGGGAAGTTAGAGTGTTCAATATCACTGAGCAAGCGCCACTCACCACCACCTCCACCTCTCTCTCCCAGTCTCCTTCCCAATCTCGTTCTCAATCTCTCTCTCTCAGTCTCTCTCTCTCTCAATGTCTCTCTCAATCTCTCTCTTGCTACCTAGATATTCCTTTTGTTCAAGGTATAAAGAGAAACCATAGCCCCTACCTTTGAGTACAAACCCCAAGAGAGCTCGGTCTCTATCACCATAACAACAATTCCAAACATCCCAAAAATCAGAGCATAGTCACTCAGTCGCTTTCTCTTTTCAAACAGGGCCCTCCTGTGTCCCAGCTTATAGCCAATGTTTTGGTTTTTCCGCTTGTTGGCTTTGGGGAAGGTGGTGCTGCTGGCGGTGGTGCCGGCATGCTGGTGGTTGTGGGTGGCATTAGGGTGATGGAGCAGGGTCTGGTGGGCATGGTTGTCCTCCCGGGAGGAGATGACGATCTCCGGGGGGTTGCTGGGGCTGAAAAGCTGGAGGGGTTGGCCCTCAGTCTCGGCCTCGATGAGGTTCCTCCGGGAGGCGCTGAGGCGGCTGAGGGGCTTCATGACCCCACCGCTGTACTTGCAGGAGCTCATGGCGATCTCCGTGAAGGGGTTGCTGTCCCGCCGGTGCACCAGGGGGCTGGCCTGCCGGTGCCGGCTGCCTCCGCCAGGCCCACTTGTAGCTGTGGAACTTGGAGAGTGGCCAAGCAAGTGGTCATTGAGATTGAGCTGGCTGCCTTGCCTGGAGGAAGGGTGGAGGATGGCAGTGGAGTTGGACGAAGGGGGGCCCCTGAAAGCGGTGGGAGAGGAGTGCAGCAGGCCAGGGTGGACGGGCTGGCTCTGGAGTTGGGCGAGCTGAGACAGGGGATGCGGTGGCTGCTGCTGCTGCTGCTGCTGAAGCTGCGGAGGCTGAGGCTGCAGCGAGGGTCCCGGGGGCTGCTGGGGGGCTGCTGGTGGCGCTGGCGGTGGTGGCGGCGGCTGCTGCTGCTGCTGCTGTTGCTGCTGCTGCTCATCCCCAGAGGATGGACAGGGGCACTTGGGGTCTTCATCCAGGTCCCCCACCCCCGAGTCATGGAAGTGCCCAGAAGTGTCCATCTTGGGGCCTGGCTGTATTCCCTGCAGCACAAGCCCCCACCCCAAAGCCACCCTCGCTCCAAAGATGTCCTCAAAGAAAGCCAGGCATCCAATCTCCCCCACCAGTGTCTTGGCTCCAGTCCTCTCTCTTTGGCTTGCTTCGGTTCTCTGGGGCTGCCTGGAGTCCAGACGCTGCCACTCAAGAATGCATTGTATTGGGCAGGGAGGGAGAGCAGGAGGGGAGCTTGGAGAAAGAAGAGGGGGTGAAAGAACTCTCTCAGGAGGTGGTCCTCTAGGAGCGTGTGAGGCCAGGCTCAGCTTCACTCCTCGCTGGCTCAATAGCTTCGCTCGCCTCCTCCTGCCACTGTTACATTGTAAGCCAAGCCCACTTATTAGCAGCTGGTCTCATTGGCTTGGCTTGACTCTCCAACCTCCTCCTAGCTCCGCCCCCCGCATAGGCTCCTCCCCGGAGGAGGGGCCTGGCGTCCTCGGCTCCGGCCCCAGTGGCGGCGCAGTGAGGGCTGGGAACTGTAGTTTTCGCTCCCCCGCCCCGGAGCTGAGCCACTGCCCTCTTTCTCTGACAGGTATGGCCACAACCCGCAAGCCCACGGCGACAAGGGATGTTCGCCCACCCGAGGCGATGGGGAGGAAGGACAGAGGGCCTCCTAAGGAGTGTACCCTGATGAGGGGAAAGGCAGACGGAGGGGAAGGCAAACATTTGTTAACCCCCAGGGTTTACCATAGGTTTTTTCACACATATTATCGGGATGCATTCTCCAAACACCCAAGGAGGTGGGCAGTATGGTCTCATTTACAAAGCCTGATGCTTAGAGATGTTGAGTAACAACGTCAAGGTCACAGAAGCGGGGGGGGGTATCCGCCTCCTGACACCGGGTGGATATACTCACCTACCATTGACAGAGTGCCTACGCCGTGTGTTCAGGCGCCCTATTCCCAACCCTCACATCAGCCCCACGACAATGATGTCAACTTTCTCCTTTTACAGATGAAAATGAAGAAGGAGGAGGAGGAGGAGGAGGAGGAGGAGGAGGAGGAGGAAGAGGAGAGGAAAGAGGAAGAAAGGAGAATTAGGGGAAAAGAATAAGGAGGAAGAGGGAGGGAGGAGGAGGAGGAAAAGGAGGAGGGAGGAAGAAGAAGGAGGACGAGAGAAAGGAAAGGGGAAAAAACACTCCAACACTCAAACATAGACATGTAACTTGTCAGATGTCACCCCGTTTGTAAAGATGCTGGGATTTGAACTTAGTCAATCTGACCCTACACATCCTACACTGTCTCCCAGAACACATTTCCGCTATGATACTCAGTACAAAGTGGTTGTTCAATAAATATTGTTCAAATGTTGGATGGGGGAAAGCCAAAGAGAAGCTGTTGAGGAAGAACTGGCCTCCCCAAAGCAGAATGTGTGAATCGGACCATGCCTCCAGCACCTTCCCTAACAGCTGGGCGTGGAGTCACAGGGGGATCTGGCAGGAAGACTCAAGATCCCCCATGGTCATTCCCTACCTGATTTGCCCCACGGGGCTCTGGGAGTCAGAGCTAGGAACAGCTGCTGGCTTCCCAGGTTCAGAATCATCATCATCAAGTATTTATTAAGCTCCCACTGTGTACAGAGGGGGTTCTAAGGGATGGGACCAGAGCTGAATTTATTTTCATTTCTAACTGCAGCAGCCTTAGGCATCAGAAAGGAAGTCACCATGATGGAATTCCCCTGCACACCTGGGGTTTTAAAAGGGAGGCCTCCTCTTCTCTGGTTCTTGATTCCCCATCACCCTTTGGCCTCTGTCCAGCTCCCTCCCTAGATGGGAAGAGGAAAGGGTAGGAGATCCATGCACACAGACACAGACACACACCCAGAAAACATGTTAAGCAGGTGGACACACATGCACATGTGTACATAGTTGTGTGCACACACTAGCCCATGCATGTGCATATGCACACAGGAAGCTTCTAAAGCAGCTCTCCTGACTGGTAAGCAGCAAGTGGCCAGGTTAGGGAGGGATACAGCTCCCCCCAAATGAGCCCAAATTACCCTCTGTATATCAGTTCTCACCTCTCCAATCCCCCATCAACTCTGATGATTGAGAGCTAAACATTACTTGTAATTCAAGCCACAACCCCAAACACCTGACAATTGCCCTTGCACAATAATCTTGATTCCGGCCAGGCATGGTGGCGCACGCTTATAATCCCAGCACTTCAGGTGCCCGAGCCAGGAGGACTGATTGAAGCCAGGAGTTCAAGACCAGCCTGGACAACATACCAAGACCCAGTCTCTACAAAAAAATTTTTAAATTAGCTGGACATAGTGGCAAGTGCCTGTAGTCCAGCTACCCAGGAGGCTGAGGGAGGAGGACTGCTTGAGCCCAAGAGTTTGGGGCTGCAGTGAGCTGTGAGAGTGCCACTGCACTTCAGCCCGGCTGGCAGAGTGTGATCCTGTCTCTAAAAAAGCTAAAATAGAAAATAACAATCTTGATTCTTGTGATTATCAATGGCATAGTCATTCCCCCTACCCCTGCCATCACACACGCAAGCACACACACACACACTACAGGTCACAGCACCAGGCCTCAGATGCAAGCCTGGGATCTCCTGTGTTTCCCCATGACTAGGCCCTCTAGCACCCACCCCCAGGCCCTTCAGGCTCTCCTGCCTTCCCCCTCCTTCCCTTCTGTATTCTCGATGTCCCTCCCTCTCCTCCATCCCCAAATAGAGACACCTGCTTGGTTCAAGGCTCCAGATCACATACTTAAGTTTAATGATCTTCTAATAAATTATCATGAATATGTTGTTAGCAGCAAAAAATGTGCTGTTCGTGTTGGTTTTCTAGTGCTGGATACAGCTTCTGGGCTGTGAAAAAATCCATTTTGGAGAGCAGGCTCCAGGCCTGGGTATTCCCGTGCTCACTCCACCCCCAGCTGCCTCAGCTAACCTTTCTGGCCGGCCTCTTGCCTCCAGTTCTCCTGGCTGTGCCAGCGGGATCCAAATGGGGCCTGTTAGAGCATGTCCTGCCATCATGGATGAGGATGAGAGATAGCTTGGGTGGAGCCCTAACTATGCCAGCACCAAAGATCAGTGGTTATCTGGAAATGGACTGGAACTTGACAGCTGACGCCACTGAGCCAGCTCATGACCCTTGTTACAGCTATCCTGTCATGAACAGGAGGAGAAGAACAATGTCATGTTTACAGCTTGGGCTCAAGTGTCAGACTGCCCAGGCTGGAGCCCTTCTCTGCCACAGGACAGCTGTGTGACCACAGGCAAGATGACCTTCTGATCATCCATATACATCTCTTCCTGACTCCACAGTGATGTCTCATTAGCAGCTTGACATCAGCCATGCTAGGAGGATTTACACCACAGAAATTGGCTAACGCTGTAAATTAGAGCTTATGTTTTCCTGGAAGCCGCTTGTTAAAACTTTCCTGGCTGTTCAACATGTGCCAGCACACTTCTGCCTCCTATGTCATTATATACAGGCTGTGCATGCCACCCCCTGCCTTTCTGCTCACCAGCACAAGCTTTGCCACTTGCCCACTGTGTGACCAATTTCTTATCTTCTCAGGCCTTCAATTTCCTTAGTTCCAGTGACAGCGCCGGCCAAGTACTTTGTAACTGCCAAGCACCGCCAGGTTAGTGAATCAGCTGGGAGTGCTCAACCACAGGGCTGATCATGTCAGGTTTTCCACGCTGCCCTCCAGATGCACTGCACTCCACATCGTCTGCTGTTGCTGCATGTCAAAGCCCCACTGTTGAAAACTCCCCGGTGCTTCCCCCGGCCCCCAGCCACAACCATGTCTTCACAGCAGCCTGTGAGTGCAGGCCATCACCCATTTTATAGATGAGAAAATTGAGACATTAGACAGATTGTAAAACTTACCCAGAGTTACTAATTAATAACTAGTCATAAAGCTGGAATCAAACCCAGGCCCGTCCAACCTCAAAGTTCAAACACTCGTCATATGTCCTGAAACCCAAATGTAAAAGATTCAGTCTTACTGATATTTATTAAACATTACCATGTGACTCACATAGCAAACCCTCAGGAACTTAGAGTCTCACTGTAGAGACAAGTTATACTTACGTGGGGTGACAAAAAACAGCAATGACAATCCCAAAGTGCGGTAGAGACAGTAGAGTTCACTGAAGGCAGAGGGTTGTCATGGGTGGCTTCATGGAGGTGGTGAAACGTAAGCCACAGCTTAAGTAATGAGGAGCAACTCCTTCTACTGCCCTAAGATGAGAGGCTGACAAATTAGGACATTTTAGTCCGCAAAGGAGGGTGTGGAGGGGCTCCTTACCCCAGAGAGCACAGGGAGAGTGGACAAGGAAGGTAGGGGCGGCCTTTGGCCATGCCAGCTCCACATCAAGCACGCTGCTGCTCGGTTCCTGCCCTCCTTTCCCGGCTCGTTCCTCATCACCTTCGTCCTTAAGCCCCAGCTCTCCCTTAAGTCTGTAGCTCTCCCTTAAGTCATGCTATTTCCCATCTGCCTTCCCTCGCTCACTCTGTTCCCTCTGCCTGGCATGCCCTTCCCCTAGATTTCCATCTAACACATTTCTCTTTGACTTCCATGACATGACTCAAACGTCTTCTTTCTGAGAAGCTTCCCCTGAACTCCCTAAACTCAAATCAGGAGCTGCTTCTGTATTTTCAGTGCCATGTGCTAACAGGGCCTCTACAGAGCAACGCAGCTATTATGTCCTTATGAGTCCTTTGCCCCTAGACCGTGATCTCCTTGAGGGCAGGGATGATGTCCTCTTCACTGCTATACTGCAGCTCTTCCAAAGACCCACTTACAATCGATGCTTAGTAAAGATTAATCAAACTCACTCAACTTGAAACCTGGGTGAGGTCATTTGAAGGCAAGTAAGAGAAAGTCACAGTACTTTTCACAACAAATCATAAACACAATTTCCTCAACAGTAAAATGAGTGAGATAGAAAAGATAATTTCTAAGATCCCTCAGCTTTAAAGTTCAATCATCTATTGTCTGTAGAACTCGTATCCCCAAAAGGTAGGACTAACTGAAAATAGGTTTAAGAAAAGTAGTGGTTCATGGTTTATATGGCTGTCTTTCCCACAGGCTGTGACCTGCATAAAAGGGCTCTATTTTTTTCCGTATTCCCAGCACTGATCAGGGTGCCTGGCTATGAATTGCTCATTAATGATTTATTGGATAGATGGTTGGATGCATGGACAGATGGATGGATGGATGGATGGATGCATGAACAGATGGATGGATGGATGGATGGATGGATGGATGGATGGACAGATGAACAGATGGATGGACAGATGGATGGATGGGTAGATAGGTGGGTGGATGGATGAATGGATGGATGAATGGATCGATGGAGTCCATCGATGAATGGAGTTTAGA